AAATGAACACCATTTGGTCACATATCAATTGCATACTGGCACGGTAGAAGAAGTGTGTGTGAGAAGAAAGGAAAAGAGTAGAGTAAAGGTGGTAGGGCGAGGTGAGTTTGGAGCTTATTGAGGGGACGTGGGATGACAACACAGCTAGAGGACAGCAGTAGGGGGAGTAGCGTGTGAGGAGGGGATGAGCCACACACCCACACACTCACCTGCATGAGTGGTTCAGCCAAAGCACAGGTGTTGCACACCTGGGCCTTTGAGTGTTTCCATTAGCCATAGATTAACCCACCTCACTGGGGTCAATGACCCCCTCTTCTGTTACAAATAGAGAGGAAATTTTTGCGAGGTTGTATTAGGAGACATTAACAACAGTCTAAAACCTAACAAACAGTTGAAAGAAGCAAATTCTTACATTTACACTAATCTAAAAAGGTTTTGAATGAATGTTATTATTTGTTGTCTTGATTTAATCATGTTGAATCAACACAAAGAGAACCAGGAATGAATCAAAAACCTTTCTCATGAGTAATTTGACTGAAATTATTCCAGCCTTTGGAGAATCAGAGTAGATGTGCACAGGTGTCTTTTTGATTTATGAACATGTGTTTTGTGATGTCATCCTCAAGGGGTGATTGTTTTCTCTCACTCTCAGTTCTGGCCAAAGATATGCATGAACTTGCAAGAACATAGATTTGAACACAGTGATTTGGACAGGGGCCCCTTGTTTGCGTGCACACTTTTGGATTTCATTACAAACAAGTTCCACTGGCCTAGATTGTGTCTGTTGTCCTAGGCCTATCAACTTCAGCTTGGGATTTGTTTAAGCAACATGCTTTCATTTAGATTTACAGTATAACTGTTTAAGAATTCACTACATAATCACCCCTCCAGGCAGGAAATTTAATTCATATATAGCCTAATAGTGGATTGTAGAAGAAAACAGGCCGTGCAAATTATCTTTACATAATAAGGTGTTAGTCAGATTATTATAAGATTATAGAGGATTCTTGGGCTTTCTGACAGGTGTGAGAAGAAGGGGAAAGACAGAGAAGGGTTTGGTGTATGTTTGTGCCTGAGGGAGGTACATGAAGCTGCTGTGAGAACATGAGAGAGAGCCTCTGAGACAGGTTAGTTAGTTAGTGCCAAAATAAGCAGCTCAAAGAAGGAAAAGATAATATGCAGATTGAGTAACTAATAATTAGACTGCAATATTTGTGTTCTACATAAATACTATAAATGTATTCTGAAGTAGCCCTGGCGTCCTGTCCAGGGTGTGCCCCGCCTCTCACCTGATGTTGGCTGGGATTGGCTCCCGCCCCCACGCCCGCGACCCCGGGGACTAAGCGGTAGAGATAATGGATGGATGGATGGTATTCTGAGGTGAGAGTAAGAGGCTATGTGGGTAGAAGAGATTTCCTCCCCCCACTGAGCACACACATAGAGCTACAATGCAAAGCACAGAGCCTTTTCTTCCCAGTCAGCATCCGTCTTTGTGTATGTGCAGTCTGGCATGCTCCTGAAAGGCTTGATGTTTTCAGAAAGGGACTTTTCAGTTAAGAGTATGCTGAAAGAGGAAGTGACATTCACATTTGCAGAGCAACGGCGCTGCCCCACGACAGGGTCCTATGAGTTCTTGTTTGCAGGGCTGCAACTGAAAAGGGAACAAGCAGTGACAGTCAGCTATAGAAGTGAGGTGATGTGGTGTCTCTGACTACTGTTCCACTTTTTACCCCGGGGACCTGCAAGATGATCTTAAATGACATCATCCACAGATTCTTTAACAAGTTGCATCCAGCAGTCAGTGCATAAGACCTTTCATATGTCAATGTGTGTCATATCCTGAGGCAAAGACTGTGATTGATTATTTTAATGGAGCCAAGAAGAAGAAAGGAATGCATCAGGACATGTTGCTAATTGAAATATCATGTGGTAATGTGGAACTCTGACAAATTTCACTATGCATAATTGTAATCTCCCCCACCTCACACCGAGTGTTGGCGGGAACTGACCCCAGCCTCCACCGGGCCGTTACCCTATATTAGGACAAGTGGTATAGATGATGGATGGATGGTTGTAAACTCCTGTAAAATGTTTATTCTTTTTCTGTAATATCTGTGCAAATTTTAAATGTGGAAGTGGTGAAAGATTTATCATTTTTGGAAGCATCACCACAGGCACAAGGTGTCAACAAAACTAACGGAGAAATTTTGTTGTCCTTTGCTTGAAGGACATGTTTTTGCTTGACAGCTTTGGCTTGACAGGTACAACTGAAATTATACCTCCACAAAGTCATCCTGAAGAGGCACTGTCAGGCTGCTCATTGGTGATCAGAATATTGAACAAGCAATATAAAGAAAGAATGTGCTGAATATATGGGTGGAGCCAAGGGGTGGCACTTGGTATGATTAGCCTCTGTGTAGCAGCAATGGCCCCAAAGTAAACAATTTACAAAACAATCTTACAATAAAACTATGTTATAAGTTAGATATAGATATTATTGTCTGTTTACATGATCTTATTTTCATAAATAAAATGCTGTATGCTATTTATAGCTGACTATAGGGGATCCACAGTTTTTGATAATGGAAAGATGAAAGAGATGTGAAAAAGGAACTTGATATGGCAAACCTTTCTCTTTTAGCTGTAACCCTCAGTATGACTTCACCAGATGAGCTCTCCTTCTTCTCATTCCTTTCAAAGACTGTAGCCCCCCCTTTGTTAACGCGTGACTCCCATTCCCTTTACTTACAGTAATTCACATAGCCTGGGGTTTCTGGCGACCTACTATGGGTTTACTGACTTGGACAGGGTAGAGTGAAGTACAGTGAGGTGGGACAGAAACTGAGGTGGATACCCTGGCAAACAAACCGTTGCACAAGCGTTACTGTGCAGAGTGGATATGCACATAAACACACCCCCTCAGTTTGACTCAGAGCTGTACAGTTTGTTCTTCACTCCAGCACACATAGTTATCTGTCTGAGAGTCCCACTAAGCTTTTAACAGTCAGGTTTTGGATCTGGAGTTTTAAAGCCTGCTCCAGTTACAGCGCCTCTATCGGTGAAATCTGCCAGCTTGAGTAAATACTTTTTTCCTTTACAGAATTCCTGTACTTGCTCCAGCCTATTAATGCATTCACACATTGTGGCTATGTTTATAGTACCATGTGTCTTAATAGCCCTTACTTCCCTTTGTTTCTGCATATAAAACAGCAGATCATCAAGAATCCCACTGTTTGACTGTATAAGTAATGACTCATGATGTGACAGACACCTTTATATTTACAACAATGCCAGCCAACCACAGTACTCACCTGTCTCAAGAAATGATTCACCTAAATTATCCTGTGGAAAATGACTCATTGTTTGTTGTAAACACTAATGATGTTGTTGGATTTATGTGGGGCTTCCCCAGTGTGTTCATCGTGAACACATTTGTTTTGATCATGGATTGAAACTGTCTCGACAGGGCACAAAATGGGCCTAATTTTTGTTTTTATGTCCCCTCTCCCTTCATAGCTGTTTTCGTACTGACAGCAGGCCTCTCTCTCTGCTGTCATCTGAATCGCTACTGACAGGATAGTCTGGGGTCGAAATTCCCACTCAAACCACACACATACTCACACAAGAACCTGGTTTTCCCTGCAGCCCAAACAAATAAGTGCTCTGATGATGACACATGGACAAGAGAACAAGAAAGATGACAAAGAAACAAGAAGACACCCACAAAGGTAAGTCCCTGACAGAAGCAAAACTTCCCTCTTTTCTTTCTGGCTGCTGCACACCTTTAAGGTCAGCCTTTCTTGTAGCCCACCTTAGGAAAACATCCGTGCCCCCACACGATGCTGAGCCTTGTGTTTCCTTCTGTCTTTAATCTTAGTGAAAAGAGCTTTTAACAAGACTGGGGAGGATGAGGGCATCTGCCAAAGCAGAACAAAAGCAGAGAGGAACTCAGAGTGATAGTAGTGGAAGACTCTGTAATTTATCACCTGTTGCCCTGGGGCACTCCAAATCCTGGGCTCAGTGTGAGTGTGTGTGTGTGTGTGTGTGTGTCAGCATGAAAAGGTGATGAATGAGTAAGCAAAGAACAAGAGAACAGACAGTTCTCATTCCTCAAAAACCTCAAAAGACATTGCTTTCTGCAATTATTTCCAGGGAAACCCCATAATTTATGCATAACTCATTTTAACGCAAATTTTGACACTGGATCTTTATGTACAGATTTATTTATTTTTGTCAAGATATAGCAGTCAGTATGAGCAACACATGGGCAACACGCATCTGTTTCAGATGTAGAATATGTATGCAAAAGTGCAAGATAATAAAATAGGGCAGAGAAATGAAATAATACAAAATGAAAACTAAATTTACCACATATGTCATGTCACACTTTGTATGATATGTCATAATAGTTCAGATACTTTGCTGTCTCTATGCAATTCAGTCCTCCAGTCCTTTTGTCTTTGCCTGCCACCTTGTGGCATGCTGTTGCACCTATAGTGTCATATATAACAAAATACAACACTATATCAATAATCTATAATATTAGAATGCAACAGAAACAACTGGATACAATTATTATTCATAGCACAGAATGTTTGAAGAAGAAATGCTTTGAACAATGAGAAATACCTAGAAAATGTGGTGACTCTTATCTAATGCTGCCTTCCAGTTCACTAAGTGAGCACTGTTTTTTGAACACTGCAAAACAGACACTACTAATAACAATAAACTTTTACTTTATTTAATCATTTAACTGGAAACAATTAATGACAAATTGAGAACTAAAAGTGTGGATTTAACTTTAAATTGGCCAATTTATTCATATTTTCTATTGGTCTAAAGGAATATCCGTGGGCTATCCGACATATACTCAAAATATGTGTACAAACCATAACTCATAAAAATCTGTTATTTTAAAGAAACCAAACTTATTTTAGTCCCTTCGGTGAGTTGGTCATGTGTACTTCATTTAAAACTCCGACATGAGCAACAACACTTGAACGTCACACTTGAGGATGAATGACGTACACGCAGCTGCGCTGTTTGGTTATGGTCGGAGCAAAGGACGCTAGAAAGGGATTACGGAAACCTCCAGCATCGTAGATAAATACCCTAGAGAGGTGCGAGCACACAGCTGTCACAACATCAAGAGAGCAGTGAAGAAAGGCTCCACTGAGTCCTGCACAAAACGAGGGTCAACATGTCTGAGACATACGGTATGTTTGTGCGGGGCGACAGACTTATTTCATGGCTGCTACACACACACCGCTCTGTCTGATGAGACAGACGTTAGTAACGTTGCTAGTTAGCTAGCTACGTTGTTAGCTTAGGGTAGCTGCTGGCTAACATGCAGGTTTTTGTTTTTGTGACTGACGTTTGATGTTGACATTACATTCAGAGCAACTGGCCCGGTGTAAATGATTCCTGTGTATTAACCGACACGCCTGTCAAACTGTGGCAGGGAGTACATTACTTAATCGGTCAGTAACGAGCAAATAGTTGGTGATATTCAAGGTAAAAGTTGGCTAAACTTACAGCTGCGGTAACGTGTTGATACACGAAGGATGTGTTTGCAGACGCGGAGGTAACTTGAGTTTGTTGAAACTAAAACAGGCTGGGTGGCCTTGCAAGTTACAACAATATTGCACCCATTTCCTACTTAAGTGCAGTGTGTGTTTACTTAAAAGGTAGCTTAGCTGCAAGGCCTATATGAGGAAGGTAGATAACGGTAGCTGTGGCTAATTGTCCGTCACACACCTGTACCTGTGTGTCACTGGACTCAGGCACATTTGATCCCACCGTGAAATAAAATAATTTCACCCCTCTATTCACTTCAGAAGACCTACATTACAAGCCAGTGCTGACAGAAGTCATGGTTACACCTGTCTGACTCCGTGTGAGCACAGGCATTATGAGCTACCACCACTTGGAGTACTGTGTGGCTGTTCTCTGTAAAGTCAACATTAAAAACATGACTGTGCCTGAAAGTATCAGTAGCTCAGTAGTCCTGATATGGTAGACCATGGTTGTTTTGAAACGACATACAATCATCCTCTCCTGTTGCACTCTCACACATGCTCTCTCCTTCTGTTTCTGCTCGTTCTTTGTATGAAACTTTATTCCAGTGAGCAGTATTTATGTAAAAGTGCTGGTGCTAATACCAGCTGTAATAGCCTTTTATTGATTTCTGTCTCCAGTCTCCCTTGCTGGCTCTTCTCCTGGAGGGCCAGTAGTGGAACTGGGGGACAAAAAGTGTTGTGAATACCAGAGCTGCCAGGATAAGTCACTTGAGTGATTTGTTGAAACAAGCTGGCAAATATTTAGCAAGCAAAAATGTGAAACATGTGCTGGTTCCAGGCTCTCAGATGAGACAATGTACTGCTTTTGATATATGAAGGTAAAATGAGTAGGCTATCTTTGGGTTTTGGATTGTTGGCCAAACAAACAAGACATGTAAAATGTCTCTTTGGGCTGTGGGAAAATATACTGGCCATACCTCAGTATTTGCAGACATTGACACCAAATATTTACTTATGAAAATAACTGGCAGATCAGGCAATAATGAAAATAATTGTTAGTTGCAGCCTTAATGAATGCAGTACTTGCATAACCAGATTAAATAGATCCCAGATGAAATGTATTAGGTTACATTTTTCTTTTATTTGGTCTTGGTACAGTTTTTTTTAGAAGAAGCTTTATTTATTGTCATTGTAACATTGTGACACGTACAACGAGATTATGTTTGGAGCTGAGGGCCCCGGGCTGCTGCGTCTATACGCACCGCCATCACGGGCAAAGGGGGCGGTTCAGTGTCTTGCCCAAGGACACTACGACATGTGGACTGCAGACACCGAGATTGGAACCTTCAACCTTCCAACTGGGAGACGACTGCTCTACCCACCGCACCACTTTCCTATTGCTTGTTTTGTTCAACCAACAGTTCAAAACACCATAATATTCAGTGTACCAGAATTATAAAAAGAAAACCATTAAATCCACTCACACTGGAAAGCTGGCACCAGATGTTTGCTGTTCATGCTTAATACACTGCTGAACTGTTTACTCGATTATCAAAGTTTATTTGAATTTAATTGTAACATCAGTTCATCCACTCATCCTGTGTATGGGGAAAAAAAGACACTTGTGTTGCTTGCCCTTGATTTTGGGGGTTGTCCCACGTGACCTTTTGTATTGTATTTTATTACTAGCAAATTCAATATAATCTCCTCAGTTTCCATATTTTCCTTCTGATGCATATGCAGTAAGTTTTCATGCGTTATTTAATATTATTGTGTAAAGGATAGAGCAGTGCATTGACATTGACAACTTGATTGCATACAACTTGATTGTTGTATTAAGATCTGATGTGGGAATTATATGTAATGACTGGGAAGATGCTGAAAACCTGAGGCAAGCTTTTCAAACAGTGCTGTTAGCCTTTGGTCCTGTCACTTCTGCTGTCACAGCCAGCGACATCGTGCAGTTGCGATGTAATGCCGACTGCTGCTGCACGGGAAAAATGGAAGTACTGGTAGGCACTTTTTGAGTTGCCGTCACTGTTCTGTGACCATGAATTTGACCTCTAGCTTGTGTTGCTTAAGAAAACACCCACGTCAACAAACAAAGGCGTACCATAATCTGAGCTGGCGGTGGTGTGCGTCGGCCACTGAAGGTGGCTCCAAGAGCACCAGCATAGCAAGCTGAACTGAAGATCAGACTCATCCGCGCCTCTTGATTCTGAAGTATTGTTTCTGTCTCCCTTGTGCGGAATGTTCACAGGCTGTTCACCTGGCTGCTAATCTCGACAGCAGTCAGTAATCATTTGCCAGGCCAGCATTTCTCCCTGCAGAGCTGGTGTTTAAGCTCGAACCGAAATTGCACAGTCTTCAAATACCAACCAAAGCAGCCTCTCAGGAGGAAAGGTGTAGTTTGCGATCGTTATTTGCTCACACCATCACTCTCCGATTTCATGTTCTTTTACGACCCCTCTGTGCATTAGTCATGAACCACGGTTCACTTAGGATTCTCTCACGTGCTCAGTCAGCACATTGGTTTCATAGCTCATGGATCTATACAAAACTGCATCCAGTGTCTTTGGACGCAGTCCACAAAGGCCATCTTTACTGCAGATGACCTTGTGTGTTAGGGGCCCGAGCCATTCTGGATCATATGCGTGGGTGCAGTTGTACCAGAGCAAGGGCCCATTCTGCACAACATCTGTACAACCAGCTGGCTGTGGTCATTCAATCCCTGTGCAAGTCGTGCTAGAGTCCACGTCTGCTCTATTGAAAAATGTTAAGTGCTGTGCTTCTTCAAGGCTTCAAACATTTTCCCATTCACAAACAAGGATATTAAATAAGAATCATAACCAGAGTGTTGTACTGACTCACATGCAAGGCTTTGTGATTAGTGAGCTAATTGAAACAGTTTGATACTGTCAAAGCTCAGTGGGATTAAGAGGAAATCTAAGGATTGACTCTGAGGTTGGAAGTGCAAAGAGCAGCAGGTTCAGATTGTCCTGGCGTCAGTGTTGCATTGATCTCAACCTCCTCTCCTCTGCTTTCAGACTTCCTGTTTAAGTTCCTGGTGATTGGCAGTGCTGGGACAGGGAAGTCCTGCCTCCTCCACCAGTTCATTGAGAACAAGTGTAAGTTCCCCCTCATTAAAAAGTCACATCAGAGTTGCATAAAAGTGAAATCCTAATTGCGTTATTACACAGACATGCAGAAACTGACATGGTCATATAGTTAATGCTGTTATGAGTTGTTCCACACATCAAATACTCTGACTCTGCTGAATATTTCAGCCAGTTTCTCCTGAGTAAGTTAATAATTGACTTCTATGTAGAATCAAACTGAAGTGAAAGGATGAATCATGTGTCTGTCTGAAGTCTTAACATTCACAGTAGCTAATAATTGACCTGGTAAAATATGAGGGATGACATCACAGTTCTCTGGCCTAGACTGTTTTGGACAAACGGCACCTAAAAAAAAGAACATATTCCCCCATTTAAACAAAATGGGGTTTAAATTTGAGTTTATGGATATTTTTGTACAGTGTTATGTCTTATCTTAATTTTTGTGATTACTTTAAAATGCCATTCAACACATACTCGCTGTTGATATTTGCTATGGTCTAAAGGTTTTGCTTTTGTGAGTAATGTAAAAATGTGAGAAAACACATACACTGACACACATGCTTGTTATAATTTGATTAAAGATGTGTTAATCCCTTGTGTTGTCAATGGAGCACAGGTGACTGAATCAGAATCATTGTTCTGCTCCTCTACAATCCTTCTAGTGTCTAATGTGGATATGATCCATTTGCAGATAACAGCTTATGTATTTTAAATCAAGCACAACACAGCAGTGTATTTGTTTTAAGATTCCAGGTGCTGAGTTGAAAGCCTTCATTATGGCAGTTCACACCTGCTAGTTAAATGGAAAGGCTTCTGTTTAGACACTTAGAGAAAATACGTAACAGCATTATGACTAGAACTGTGCTGAAGTCAGCTGTTGTGCTGTGCTGTCACCTCACAGCATCAAATTTTTCATACTCCCCTGCCTGCGCTCTGTTGCAGTTAAGCAGGACTCCAACCACACAATTGGCGTGGAATTTGGTTCCAGAGTAGTCAACGTCGGGGGAAAGACGGTCAAACTGCAGATCTGGGACACCGCTGGGCAGGAACGATTCCGGTAATGGTCTCCTGTATTTCATGCAAAGGGTTTGGCAAAATATGAATTGCATGAATTTATGCACATGCTGTGTTTAGGTAACATCCAGCATCAATTACACAGTTGCACGTGGAGATGCGCAATTAAGTCTCTGACTGAATAGTTGAAAGAAGGGGGACAGTGTCGTTACACAGTTGCACGTGGAGATGTGCAATTAAGTCTCTGACTGATGAGAATAGTTGAAAGAAGGGGGACAGTGTCTCCTTCACCATCCCAGCCCACATTTCACTGGCTGATACTGATATTGTGATGCATTACTTAAAGATTTCTGCATTCTCTCCACAGATCTGTTACACGCAGCTACTATAGGGGAGCAGCTGGAGCGCTCCTCGTCTATGACATTACCAGGTAAAACAATCGCTGCACTTGCTGTCCCTGTGCCTTTCCACAAATTATTTTTTTATGTGACAGAATGAACAAATAATTAATATACTCCATATTGTTGGGTATTAATACAAGCATGTTCCCTATTTGTCAGTGCATGAAATGTCTCTGACCTTTTTTTTTTTTTTTCATTAAATGACAAAATAATCATTAACAACTACAGAAAAAAACAAACTGACCACGTTTCATGGCAGAAGAAGGTTCTCAGGAAGATGGACAGGGAAGTAGCATGAAAGAAAGAGAGCACGTGAACCAGGCTGCGGCCGAGCTTCTTGGTGCGTGCACGGGGAGTTAGCCCTGGCTGTTAGTTGAAGCAGCTGTTAAACATCATTCTGCTGATCCACACCTCACTGGCCTCCTGTTACCGTGGACACCAGGGTCCTGTCTCCATGGTAACTGTTGACTTCAGCCCAAAACAGTTCCTCAGATTCCCAGAAAGACATATGACTTTGGCTGTGTCTGAAATCACCTCCCTTCACGTATTTGCTACTCCGTACGTAATAGATGCAGGTACTCAGTTGTTGACTCAGTGCTGAGCAGTAAACTGGGGTCTCGGACACTTGGTAATTGTTGTTTTGTGTCATCGCTGACAGCTGTTTTGATGGCGATGTATTATATTTGATAAAATCACACCCTTAGAATGCGGACACTCAGATAAAATGGCAGACAGTAAATGTAGTGAACTATATAGCAAAGAGAGAGCGACTGTGGACCCAGCCTCTGTCTTCACTGGCTAGAGAAACACTGACATTAGGAAAAAGGGGGCTTCAGATTTTGGAGGTTCCTAATCAAATGTTGCAACAAATATACAGTGCACTGCAAAAGTATTCATACCCCTAGAACTTTTCCACATTTTTTCACATTACAACCAAAAACCTAAATGTATTTTATTGGGATTTTATGTGATAGACCAACACAAAGTATCACATAATTGTGAAGTGGAAGGAAAATGATACATGGTGTTTAAGATTTTTTACAAATAAAAATCTAAAAGTGTGGTGTGCATATGTATTCAGCCCCCTGAGTCAATACTTTGTCAAACCACCTTTCACTGCAATTACAGCTGCAAGTCTTTTGGGGTATGTCTCTAACAGCTTTGCACATCTAGAGACTGCAATTTTTGCCCACTCTTCTTTGCAAAATAGCTCCAGTTCTGTCAGATTGGATGGAGAGAGTCTGTGAACAGCAATTTTCTAGTCTTGCCACAGATTCTCAATAGGATTTGACTGGGCCATTCTAACACATGAATATGCTTTGATCTAAACCATTCCATTGTAGCTCTAGCTGTATGTTTAGGGTGGCTCCTGCTTTTATAATCTGCCATATTTGGTCCATCTAAGGGGCAAATAAAACAGTAATACACTATATCCTTATTTCATCTTCAGCTTTCATGTCCATTTGCACTAAGATGCTACTATAATATAAAATATGTGACTGAAAGTACATAGTTCACCCACACCCGAAGCTTATGAAGTCCACTAGAGTCGGAGGCTCCTCTCCTTAGCTAGGCCTGTTAGCTTTTAGCAGGGCTACTTTTGTTACTTTTTTCTCCATTTAACTGCTGTCTTATTGATGTGGTATGAAAGATGTTGCAGCATCAAAATTCATTATTCATTTCCATGAAACAAGATGAAGTGGGGTTAGGCAGGTCTGTCTCACCAGCTAACCTTAGCTGGAGTGCAGACAGCAGCAGTTTAATACTAGCTGGTCATGCTGTGAGTCTGGTCTTGACTCAGTCCTTGTGATATATCTGAGACCGTGGTACTTATGATCTGGGCAGCTGAAAAAACGTCCTTCAGTATAAAAAAACCTGCAGCTTTCATGTTTTAATATATGGCAAAGGCATTTCAGGTGTTTTTGTAAAGGAAGAGGCCACGATTTAAGTAAGGACAGTAAAAGTAAATGCATATTTGAGAATGTAATAGACTAATTGAATAAACCGAAATGGGAATGCATTATTCGCTACACAAAGTCGTCTGCGTTGCAAGTTGATCCTATACACTCAGCAGTACACTAGCTGTAACTGACTACGCATCCATTGGTCTTGCCCCCCACCCCCCTTACAGCCGGGAGACATATAATGCCCTGACCAACTGGCTGACAGATGCCCGGACACTGGCGAGCCCCAACATTGTTATCATCCTGTGTGGTAACAAAACGGACCTGGACGCAGACAGAGAGGTGACCTTCCTAGAGGCCTCGCGCTTCGCTCAGGAGAACGGTAACTGATGGTGAACCTACCTTAACACATTTTAAATCTTTGTATCTCTTATTTTTCCCCACTTGCCTTTTCTCTTTTTCACTCTGATACAGATTCTTTTTTCTGCCTGTACAGAGCTGATGTTCCTAGAGACCAGTGCTCTGACAGGAGAGAACGTAGAGGAGGGTTTCCTGAAGTGTGCTCGCATTATACTCAACAAGATAGATTCAGGTACACTTCCTGTTTGTTAAAGAGGTGTGTTTGTGAGAGTATGCGGACACCTTTGTGTATCTCCTTGTGATCTCTGTGGCTGAGCCTCTAGTCTAGTGTTTGTCTGCATTGCCAACACTTGTCTTTACGGTTTTGTTTCAAAGGTGAGTTGGACCCAGAGAGGATGGGTTCAGGTATCCAGTACGGCGATGCTTCGCTGAGGCAGCTGCGACAGCCGAGAGGCACCACCACACAGAATAAGCAGCAGTGCAATTGCTAGGGATCGGGGCCCCACCCTCCCCGCAGTCTACAGACAGGATGTCCCCCGCAGGTCAGTGGCAGGTCATCTGCTCAGGCTGTAATTGATTTCCTTTTTTCCTTTCTTTTTTTAACTTCCTCAGTACTGACTGAAGATCAGCACCTTCTCCTTTCTCTTCCCACACCTCAGCTCCAGGTGTTTTTTGGTGTGTGGGATCCTCCTCTCTGCAGTCTCACACACCTTGGATCACCTGGAAGAATGCTCATGGAGCTCAGTGCAACCCCTGGCCTCTGTTAAGATTCTCCACTTCTTACCTGAGGGGTTCAGCTTTGGCTCCTGCGTCTGGACAGGGAAATCCCTCAGTGTGAACATGCTGGAATCATAAAGAAGAGGCATCCTCTTCCTAAAAAAAAAAAAAAAAAATTACCAAAGACAAGGACAAGGCTGCCCTACTGCTGCTTTATTGCTGGGCTTTTTGATTCTGGTTTTAGCAACACCTAAACGCTTTCTGCATATGCACATTATTGTTTGTAAATTATTATTGGTAAACTATTTTGCTCATACGTATTCATTGTTCAACTTATGTGATTCATGATTAGTTTGTGCTTTTGAGTTTTAACATTCATAAATGCACCTGCTAATGTTTAGATTTTCATCATCCATTATTTAAGCGCACTTTCCATGAATCCATCCTGTCATTGATACAGTCTAAGTGATAAACAATTGAAATGTGACCTCTTACAGGTAAAAGATGAAGTCAGTCTGCACAGGTTCTGCGGTAGAATAAACCAGATGAAGTTTCAAGGTTCCTGCAGTTGTGGTCCAGTAAAGCTTCTCATCTGATCTGACTACTGAAGCTGCTAATCAGTGGATTTAATTGTAGTCCAGATTATTAAATTCAAACAGGCCCAAATGTAGATCCTTTACTCACTCCAAAATGTGAGTCTTTGGAAGTTTTGGTTTGCATTAAAATGCACTGCTATGTAGAGTACTGGCCTTTGTAATATACTTTAGTGATGTATTATTCCCAGTCACCATGTTTTTAAACTCTTAGAGGGAATAGACCAGATTCTCCACTTTACATCTACTGTATGTAGATGAGCCCATAGACCAGGTTGAAATCACAACAAAGAGGTATTTTGCTCTTTACTTTCCTCCAGAGCTCCCAAAGTCTTTAGATGTGTATTATCAAGCTTAGTCCTTGCATCTGCTCCTATCACAGTAAAATGTTAAGAAAGGGTCATCAGTCAAACAAATCAGTCGATCAAAA